GGGAGGAACAGGAACAGCACTGCCAGAACCACAAAATGATCTCCAGCAGGACAGTGCTGTTAATGTGTCTGACCAAACCAACAGAAACAGACTTCATGGGGGTGGTTTCAGGGTCCAATGTCCTCTGGTGGGGCCTGTGCTCACTGCTCAGGTCCAAGAAGACTGACTGGTATTTGTCATAGAATACCAGAATTGGATGGTCCACCACTGGCACCCTGTGCTTTTCACAGACGAGAGCAGGTGTGTGGTGGGAGTATGTAGGCAGTTCCTAATGAATTGATACTATTGACCGCATCCACGCTCACCTGACCTTAATCCAGCAGAACACCTCTGGGACCTTATGTTACACCACTAGGTTGCACCTCAGACTATCCAGGAGCTCAGTGATGCCTGATGTGTTTTTGCAAAGTGTTCTTTAATTTTTTTGAGAAGTACAATTTCCAGTGAGCAACTTTTTTTAACTGCAGAAGAAGACCTAAAAATATTCACAACTGAAGTGTTAATTACAAACCAGTTTGCATTTGTCCATTGCTGTTTCACACTTCTTGGTCTAGAGCAAGCCAGGAGTCAATTTACAAACTGCAGAAGTGACAACTTATTATTGTCACCATGAGTTTCTCTATCTTCCAATAAGAGTTTAAAAAAGACAGCACTCACATGTCGTAATTATAGGAAAATGACCTCATCATTAAGATATAACGTACTACATGGGGAGAGGAATAAAGAGGCAAGAACTCTTCATAATGTGGCTGAGAAACGTGAGGTTTTTAAAGACATCCTCACCATCAAAGTAATTCAGTAAGTGTCGTCAGTATCATTTGTAGAATTTGTCTCCAGTCAGGACCCATTAGTTTTTCTTAGTATCCTCGTGATAGCAAAACTAGGTATCAGTAAGCAAATGACAAGTCTGTAGCTCAGTCCAACAACAGTTACATACATGGAGAAATTATTTATACATAATATATATTGAAGTGAAGAGCTTTACTTAAAGAAGCAGAAGCAAATGTGTGTTTGTGTGTCAGAGACACAAATAGGAAGGAAAGAAAAGAAATAGAGGAATCCATGTAGGTAGTGCACCTCCATTTCTCCCTCAGTCCAGTCTCCAGTCCCTCCATCTTTTGTGATGTTTTTCTTCCCTGCTCCAGCTTCTCGAGCATCTCTCCTGTGCATCTCTCTTTACCCTGTCATCCTGTCACTACTCTGTCTCTCGCTGCTCCACAGCCAGCCGATCCATCGCGCACTCAAGGTTTGTTCCTGTGTTACAGTGTGTGTGCTCAGCTCCGAGCTAAAGTTTCAACTCCGAACTACAAAGGAGATGGCGAGGAGAGAAAACGACAGGTTTCAAGGAGAAAAATATACCTTTTCTTAAGAAAGAAAAAAGAAAAGGGGGGGAAGAAAGCAAAGGCAGATACCGGAATCATATTCTCTAAAGCAAACGGTACACAAACACACACTGACACATATATAAATGCACATTCCTGAGGATTGTTTTTTCCTTTGGCAAAAGTTACATTCTTTATCTGCTCTTTTGGAGGCTTCCCAGCTGGGTTTACTTTGTCTCTCTTCCCTCTTTATTTACCCTCTTCAATTGAGACAATTTCTCAGGGGACTCCTCTCTGAACCCTCTGCTACTGTGACCAACACAACTGGAACACCAGACATAGAGACTGAGAAACAATAATGTACACGCACACACAAACACACCGCCAAGATGAATAGAGGGCGTACAGGGCCAGCTCTCATTAGCAAGCGGGACTTCTCTGTGTGCAGCAGTAAAGCAGAGCGTCTAAACATGACAGTGAATGATGTAGAAGGGAAAAAGATCAAATATGCTTTTTTTTAAATTTGTGACAGTGTATCCTATAGGCAGCTTTGTTCCATTATATTCTGTAGTCCAGTTTCATTGCCCATGAGACAGCCACAACATCAATAAACAAACGAGCCAGTTATATGCACTTTTAAACCCTAACGCACTGGAAACAGATTGTAAACCCTCAGTCACTAACTGCTCTGCGCTGCAGCTCCTGACACGAATATACAAGATGAAGGTGAATTGATAGGTTTGTGTGATGGATCAATACGGTCAACACATCCAACGCCTGGGATTTCTTTTCTCGCCTGCGTTGCATTGTCAGAACATCTTTAATCAACATGGCCTCATTGACTCGGATCGATCCGCCACATGTAACAGCGCAAGGCTGAGGGAAGAGAATATTAATCCACAGCACAGCTGATTAACTTAGATTTACATTGTCTTTATTGATTGGAACCTATATTTAGTTATTTTAGCCCCCAAAACGTTGATAACTACTAATCCTGGAGATCAATTCAACAATGGCAGCTCGTGTCCACCAACTATTTAACTGTGGTTCAGAAATGTGAAGACTGAAGAGTGGCTCAAACCAGCTCTTTGGCATTGCAATCACACCTCTATTGGCTCAATAACCCCTGACCTTTTCTTTTAGCATGCTGATGTTTTTGTGTAAAGTTTCTCTGCACCTATTGGCCGATTTTTCTTTGGTGATCTCATTTGTTTTCTTCATAGAAATAATTTCATAATTAGAAATAATAAAAAGAAAAGAAATAATTAGGTTCAGGGTTTTTAACACTTATTAAGTAATATACCAAAAAATATTGGGCTTACAACCAAATATAGCTTTTAAAATTTGATGATTCAAAGTAACTAGATACAGTGCATAAAGTACAAAAAAAAGTCATCATAAGACATCTTGTGGAAAATGCTTTGCAGTCTGTGACGCTCTGAGTTCTTTGACTCACGGTTATCAGCGGAGGCTTTGTGTCTTTTCCCTGGTGAGGCTTTCCTGTTCACTTCACACAGCCTTGGCTCTTGTTTGATGTGGCGTCTCTGCCACTGATCTGCAGTCGATCAGTGGCAGAGAAGTGAAGCAATTGACCGTGCTTCACTTCTTCAACATTAAAAGCTCTTTGTTTGCACTGGGTTTACAAGTAAGACAGTAAGGTGGTCGACGAAATGTTGTAAAATAAGTTTTGGGTTTTCGACTTACATACTGTCCTAGTGAAGTTTTTTTCATCCCCTCTCTCTGTCTCCTACACACACACACACACACACACACACACACACACACACGCACACAAAGCTGTTTCCTTCATAGACATTACCTGCTCAAAGGGCGCAATTTTAAGCAATTTAACACCTTTCTCTACTGCCATCAGACCGGATGTTGTGCTTCATTTGAAACACTCCCCTCATCCCTTGAAGTGTTTGCTGGGATGTGGTTTCACCTTGCCTGCTCAGTGTAGTGATTTCTTCCATTTCCACTGGCTTTGTCCAACCTCTCATGGAAAAGATTATCCTTAATCGTGCTGTTTACAATAAACACAACTCAGGTTTCAAACTACTGTTTACACTCAAAACCTCAGAAAAAGGCAGCGTCTGAAATGTCTCTCACATAAACATAGTTTGTCTGTGAAATATGTAATCAGTTTTTATATGTCTGTGTATGTTAGGTGGGGATGACATTTTATTATGTATACCGTACTAGTACTTGGTTAAACCCTGGTTTGCCCTCAGAACTGCCATAATTTCTTGGTGGCAAAGATTCAAAAAGGTGGTGGAAGCTTTCCTCTGAGGTTTTGGTCCATATCGAAATGACAGCATCATGCAGTTGCTGCAGATTTCTTATCTTCAGCTCTGTGATGTGAATTTCCTGTTCCACCACATTCTCCACATTCTTGGCCATTCTCCTCTGACATTAACGAGGCATTTGCACTTACAGAACTGCAAGTCAATAGACGCCTTGACCATGTTGGCATGGATTTTCTTAATGAACTGAGTAGGTGCCGTGGGATTCACTTGAATTAGATTAACAAGCAGATGAATAGATGCACCCAATGAAATTGCCAGTGTATATATACCAACAGGGTGCAAGAGGTAACTGAATGGTTTGATGAAAATAAAATGAAAGAATTTATTATGGCTTTGCAGTCTCCAGATCTCAAATGGAACACATATGGGAAATTGTTTTTCCTGGTGTAACATCAAATGTATAAATATCTTTTGGTAGAGCCACAGAAATGCCACCTACAGCAGAAGCATCACTGCAACCTTTCTCCAATCCAGCTCTTCCTTACAGCTGTGTCTGACTTAATGTCATATCTGTTGTCATGAATGCCTGCTCTGTTCTCTTCAAAGACAGTATAAAATATGGGCGTAACCACAAAAAATCCATTGCTGACTTCTTATTATTAAGTCTTGAGCCATCCTGGTGTTTAGATGAAGTGGTGGTCCAACTGCAATATCACATGCTCTTTGGCTATACCAACTTGTGATTTATGAGTCATTAGTCAACAAGTACATCCTGGATAATCTTCCGTGAAGAGTGAATGACTAATTCACCAGACTAATTGTTCTGATCAATATACCGAACCCATAAAATAAGTTATGTTCATCTGTTGTACCTTCTGTTGTTCTATGCTTTAAGCTTGCTGTCACTTTAGCTATTACGAGTTCATCATTGTGACGATTTTAGTAAACACATAGTTTATAGTTTGGGCAAGATTAGGTGACCCTGAATCCTGCAATAGGCCAAGGCTGCTGGGGGCTTCCCGCATGTCTTTTTCATTCACCTTTTGTCACTCTCTCTGTTTATATACCACTCTGCATTTCACATTATGCCTTTTGTACCATCTTCCTCGCCTCACCCCCAGACGGTCACAGCAGATGACCGTCCCCTCTCTGACCCTGGTCCTGCCTGAGGTTTCATCTTGTTAAAAAGTCGTTTTTCCCTTCCCACTGTCACCAAATGTTTTCTCATAGTGGGTTCTCTGATTGTTGGGGCTTTCTCTGTATTATTGTAGGGTCTCTACCGTACATTACAATGTGCCTTCAGGTGGCCGTTGTTGTGATTTGGCGCTATATAAATGAAGCTAAACTGAATTGAATCTTGCTGCTGCTCACCTCACCTTAGCTAGTGTGAGCTCACTATATGGATTCCAGTAAAAACAATGAACAAAACAAGTTAAAAAATAGTTAATTCTTTAGTAAAAAATACATTTATAAATTCCGCAGCATGATCTTCATTTCCATCCATGACAACAACAACCAACTGTACAGTAGGCATTTACAATGAAACACATTCTGGGAAGGCAAATACATCAAAATGAGGAAAAAAATATGGCAATTTGAAGCAGAAACAGCAAAACCAATAAAAAATAAAGATTTTTAAATGAACACAGATTCAGGAAAAAAAACCAAAACAGATCTGACTGTTTAACAGAAACAGAACATCAGAGTTTCAACACCCCAACAGGGTTCACCAAAACACCACAAGGTTAACTTCAGTCCTTCTAATACAACTACAGCAGCTCGGTATGAAGACGAACAACACGTGAACAGACTAAGGAGGCAGCACTCGCATGCAGCTGTCCTTATGCACTGCTTTCACAGTCAGCTTCACCGCGTGACTTTAAAGGGAAAATGGCAAAACTGGCCCCGAATCAGTGCTTAAGGACAACTTTATCTCACTTTGGGTCAGAAAAACAGTCAACAAACATTTTACACTGAAAAAAACAGCTTTTCTTTTGATTTTTCTTATTCAATTAGCAGGATAGATTATAACAGATAAAATCTCTGCTTTTGCTACTGGATGGTACTGATGGACAGGCTGGGAGGTTAGAGGATTGACAGCAGCCCTATTGCACATGGGAGAAAGCTTTTACTGGAAGTTTCTACAATCAGTCCTGTACATCCTTTAAAAAATATATTTCAAAACTTATTTCAAAGCCTCTTAATTTTTCAGGTTGTTATGACTCTATGTTAGCTTTTTTATTCTTTTTTTTTTTCTTTCAGTCGCATCCTTGGAGATTTGTAGACATATTGAGCTCTGGTTTGGACCAAAGCCAGAGCATATGTGCAGTCTCACACATGAACACACATATTATGTGTTTTATATGTAATATAATGTAATTCAGAAAGAAAAATAGATATTTTGGCAAAGACAGTTTAAAGAGGAGCACCACAGAGATCACGGGAGTTAACTAAAAACTATGTAAAGCACTGCTTTCCAGCATTGGTTACTTTTGTAACCAATACTTTTATGTGGCCAACCACACAAAAGTATTCAGTCCACCTTACTGTAGATTTTCCTTCCTTTCACTGGTGTCATCCCCACATACTAAGAATAAATATCAGGAGGAGCCCAACTGTTCCCTGTTAACTGGCTCTGCTGCAGTGACAATACAGTCCACAAAAAAAAAAAAAAAAAAAAAAAGAGAGTACCATGTCATCGAGCAGTCAGTTCACCCAGAGCAGACGCGTCCTCTCAGTATTAAATTATTACCCCTAAAGCTGCTGACCAAAATATCACAGTTGTGGTCTTAAGTGATGATTATGGGATGGGATCTGTGCCTTGGGGTAAATTTCACTACACCGCTGATATTAGCTGCCGGTGTATTCTGGGTGCACGGAGAAAACCGCACGCTGGCAGGACTTTGCCTACACAGAATCCTGCGCATCAACCGAAAAGTGCTTAGAGGGAAGAAATGAGGAAAGACTAAACCTGCAGTGAAGAAAGTTTCCACTGGATGGGTTTGTTTTTTTTAGCCACATGTGGCAATAGAGACAGAAGAGAATGAAATATTTTTAAAAAGATGGTGTCACAAGTAATAGAAATAACAGTCTTCTCTCATCTCTGAGGACTATGTTCAAGATATATTGAACAATATCATACACACATGCATGCCTCCTCATAAAGAGCATATTGTATATACCCTCGAATGTAGGTGTACAAGTGTACAAACTTCTTCTGCCGTCCATGAATTGTCTTGATTCGATGCTTATCTCCATATTTTCACCTTCCTTTTATGGCAGAATAATCTCCTGTACAATACAGAGTTGTCAGCCAATTAAGTGGCTTATTTTATTGTGCTTGGATGTTTCAGAGGTACTGTGCGAGCTTTCACAAATTATTTTCCAAGTGATGCAATAGCTGCTAATACAGGAGGTTTAGCTTTAAAGAACTGTACGCACACGGTACAGTTCTTAGGTTCAGTGCTGATATTGTACATCGTGTGAGCTCTCCAGTAAACTGTGCATTGCTTTGAGACAACACAAAGACTTTTTTTGTTTTTGAAAGTGCTCCTATGTATATTGCGCTAGCCATCTCATTTTGGCCTCTTTACATTTCCTTTCAAACCATTTCTTATTCTATGCAAGTAGCTCACAAGACGATGTCTGAGTGTGGCAGCACCCAGAATCTGTGAGACGTTTCAGGCTAACCCGCTGGTCCTGAAAATACAAGTACAGTCATTTCTTGCCCTTGGGTGGGCACACCAAAGTAAAAGTATGACCCTACACATCCATGTTAAGTACAAACACAGCCATAATGAAGTTTGGTATTTTGTGCTTAATTTCTGAGTCTCTAATACAGTCTTGATTGGAAGTGTGACTGAACCAACAGACAAAAAAGGTCAGGAGATGATTCATCTCTGATGATGTTTTACTGCGGATGAAGTTCCAATCAGAGCTCAGCAGCTTGAGATTTCTGTCACCGTCTGCAAACAGAAAGAAGCTTTAGAGGTGGGGAAAAATGATGAATCATGAAATGTTAAGTGCTAATCGTCTTGGACAAGACTTCACCTTTTTTGGGGCTTTTAAGTGAGATAAACACTGTGCTGGCATTAAGGAAGAGTTACAAGCAGGCGGGAGATTCATCTAAATAATGCAACACAAAGAGCTATTGCCAATTGGCTCCCACTTCTTTCACAAACACCCCCCCCCCCAAATACTACATATTTGAAGCAAATGTAGACAAATATAGAGCACCATTTGAAATCATGTAAACAAATCATTTCAGTTTGTCTCGTCCTATCTATTAGATGTGTTTAAATCAGCATAAAAAAAATTATAAATCAATGTTTGAACAGCGAGCATCAGTATATCAGTCTGATTGATCTCAAAAAGCACTTCAGTGCCTGTTGCACACAGCTCCTTTATCAGGCATGAAATGCTTCCCTGCTGAGGGAAACGGAGCACACATGCTGATAAACCTGCGGGACGTGCAAATGTCCGCCACAATTATCTTTATCAAATCACATTCAAATGGTGAACGGACTGCTACAAAATAGCTCCCTCTGCTGTTTGAAGTCATGTTATTGCAGCTCAACTCGTGCGTCGTTATTTTTTTTAAGGGCTTACACCCCCTCGCCCTCCCCCCTTCCAACACCTCCTAAATCTAGAAGCCACATATGAGCCTCTATCTCATTAACGGCACATCAGCATTGCATCACAATACTGCCTGCTTACATTTTCCATATATATACTAAATAAATGTGCAGTAACAATCTCAGCAGCTCCACTAGGAAGCAGATTTTAATTATATGTTTTACAAAGAGATACGAAAAATAGCATTATGTCAGCATAAAGTTCCTATTAAAATTCTAGTAACAATCTCTAGAAACTATTAAATGAGCATCAATGTCAAATTGAATGAAGGGAACTTTTTTTCCCCCTCCAGTGTAGATTCTTGCTCCTAGATAGGGTCAAGGAAGATGAATAGTAATTGCTGGGCAGTAATATAAGAGTACGGTCCATTCAAAGTAATATATGCATTCTGGGAAGTCACAATCATTGCAAAATCGTAGGAAACACTACCTTTGCCTTGTTGTAGATCCATAGTTATCCAGCATGTGAGTGCTGGCCACCTCCAGGTTCCAGTCACACATCTCCAGCAGCTTTAGACACTCTGATCTGCTCCTCAGGCCCAAACAGAACAACTGTTCTACCTGTAGAGAGGCAGGTCACAAGACATTGTTCAAGTGACCAAAGAGTTATCAAGAGGGAAAAAGATGGGACTGTTAAAGAGAGTTCAAGGTGAAGAACTTTCATCTTTTTTACTGAATGGAGTGCCAGTGAGTGTAAAATTATTTCTGTCTTTGTACAAGCTCAGCTTGTTCAAACACATTCCTGTAGCTTAGCAGAATCTGAACCACGTGGATGAGTTTTTTCTGTGTCTCACAGACGTTTCCACCACCATCAAGGAACACTCAAGTGTTCCCTTGTGTCTACTGAAGTCCTAACAAATTGTCCATCCTGCCACGTTGGGCAAAACCACAGCCAGTTAAAACGGTGTTAAAACCCACCCTAAACATATCAGAGTGTCTACATGCTTTTTCATTTGTAGCTGCTCACTGCAACTTTTCCTCAAGGATGAATAAAGTTCTCTTATCACATCTCGATATGAGCCTATAGGGTAAAAGTGTAACTGACTGTGTCCATTTGCAGATACACCCTGTTATTACACAAACGACTGACCTGAGACTTGATGAACCCGATCTGGTAAGCACTGAAGTGTTTACCGCTGAGGTAACGGATTTTCATGCAATCTTTGTTTTGATGGCCTGAGCAATAAAATGTTTTGTTCCTTTTACAGTGGGGCAAAAAAGTATTTAGTCAGCCACCGATTGTGCAAGTTCCCCCACTTAAAATGATGACAGAGGTCAGTAATTTGCACCAGAGGTACACTTCAACTGTGAGAGACAGAATGTGAAAAAAAAATCCATGAATTCACATGGTAGGATTTGTAAAGAATTTATTCGTAAATTAGGGTGGAAAATAAGTATTTGGTCACCTCAAACAAGGAAAATCTCTGGCTCTCACAGACCTGTAACGTCTTCTGTAAGAAGCTTTTCTGTCCCCCACTCGTTACCTGTATGAATGGCACCTGTTTGAACTCATCATCTGTATAAAAGACACCTGTCCACAGCCTCAAACAGTCAGACTCCAAACTCCGCCATGGCCAAGACCAAAGAGCTTTCGAAGGACACCAGGAAAAGTATTGTAGACCTGCACCAGACTGGGAAGAGTGAATCTACAATAGGCAAGCAGCTTGGTGTGAAAAAAATCAACTGTGGGAGCAATCATCAGAAAATGGAAGACATACAAGACCACTGATAATCTCCCTCGATCTGGGGCTCCACGCAAGATCTCATCCCGTGGGGTCAAAATGATCATGAGAACGGTGAGCAAAGATCCCAGAACCACACGGGGGGACCTGGTGAATGACCTGCAGAGAGCTGGGACCAAAGTAACAAAGGTCACCATCAGTAACACACTACAACGGCAGGGAATCAAATCCCGCAGTGCCAGACGTGTTCCGCTGCTGAAGCCAGTGCATGTCCAGGCCCGTCTGAAGTTTGCCAGAGAGCACATGGATGATACAGCAGAGGATTGGGAGAATGTCATGTGGTCAGATGAAACCAAAGTAGAACTTTTTGGTATAAACTCAACTCGTCGTGTTTGGAGGAAGAAGAATACTGAGTTGCATCCCAAGAACACCATACCTACTGTGAAGCATGGGGGTGGAAACATCATGCTATGGGGCTGTTTTTCTGCCAAGGGGACAGGACGACTGCTCCGTGTTACGGACAGAATGAATGGGGCCATGTATCGTGAGATTTTGAGCCAAAACCTCCTTCCATCAGTGAGAACTTTGAAGATGAAACGAGGCTGGGTCTTCCAACATGACAATGATCCAAAACACACCGCCCGGGCAACAAAGGAGTGGCTCCGTAAGAAGCATTTGAAAGTCCTGGAGTGGCCTAGCCAGTCTCCAGACCTCAACCCCATAGAAAATCTGTGGCGGGAGTTGAAAGTCCGTGTTGCTCGGCGACAGCCCCAAAACATCACTGCTCTCGAGAAGATCTGCATGGAGGAATGGGCCAAAATACCAGCTACTGTGTGTGCAAACCTGGTAAAGACCTATAGTAAACGTTTGACCTCTGTTATTGCCAACAAAGGTTATGTTACAAAGTATTGAGTTGTATTTTTGTTATTGACCAAATACTTATTTTCCACCCTGATTTACGAATAAATTCTTTACAAATCCTACCATGTGGATTCATGGATTTTTTTTCACATTCTGTCTCTCACAGTTGAAGTGTACCTCTGGTGCAAATTACTGACCTCTGTCATCATTTTAGGTGGGGGAACTTGCACAATCGGTGGCTGACTAAATACTTTTTTGCCCCACTGTATTTGTACAGTTTTATTTTATAAAGGTGTTTCTGCCAGTTGTGTGTATGCAGTACTTTAAGACTATGGAACCTGACCTTAAAAACAAACTACATCCCTTTTGCTATTGAGCTTTTTTACTTTTGTTATTTAAAATGAATTAGTTTGAAACTTTACACGGACTTTTTTTCATCTTATGACAAAGTAAAGATTTAAATAAACACCATTAAAAATAAACACCGAACAGAATTTTCCATTTAGGGTTTGTAGCCATACTTATTACTAATGATCCATATATGCAGTTATTACACTTTACATGCATATAGTCATGTGCAAATTGGAAATAACGCCTTTCAAAAATAACATTTCAATATGCAACAACACTAGAAAAGGGGAATAAACAAAAATTAATAAAAAGTCAGTAAAAGTATCTCAAAAAACTAAAAAAATGACTGAAGCTTAAAGGAACATTTTTCCTTCTCACTTTTTACCATTTTCAGGCCTCCATACAACACTACTATGAGTTAACCAGTAACATATAATTTCTGAAACAACTCAACAGTCATAGTGTGCCAACTATGGCAGGAAATGCATTAGCTTTCAGTAAATGCACAAACCTTTAGATAATGCACAGCTTGCTGGACATTCCAGTTGTGGTTCTGGAGGGCGGCCTGGCACTCCTCCATCGTCACACCGTGAACCGCCTCCTGCACCTGAGACACACAACAACACTGAAGTTTAAACCCCCGATTCCTCACTTCTTGTTTTTTTGGGGTCTCAGTAATCTTTTGGTATCTTTTTCTGATGAAGAAATCATCTAAGATTAAAGCTCCATGTACATCCTTTAGGTGAACAGTGGATTTACTGCTAAACATGATAAGAATCTCAGCTGGATTTAAGCATCGCTGCACAGATCAAGTTTTAAACGTTCACATCTCTTTTCAAAAACCACCTTAAGCCTGCTCAAATTTCAAGAAGATAAGTCTGACACAGTGTTCCTGTGTGTACCGAGACTGTGGCAGCATAATCACCAGTTTTTTTTTGTCAGTACTTCTCTTCGCATGAACTTGATTGAAACCCATGTTAACAATTTCATGTTACCAATCACTGCAGTTTTACGCAGATATTACTAGTAAACTCATAAGGCGCTATATACATTATATTCTTATAATACTCTGTCTTGCACTGAACTCCCCTGCAATGCAGCTGAGATAGCTCACATTCTTGCTGCACTACTTTTTGCAGCTGTATCAACTACAAAATGCCAAGTGCCTGAAAGCCTTCAGAGTTCACAGCGCTTCTGACTCCAGCCAAACTCGAACAGCGCGAGAATCAATTGACCAACCTAAAGAAACAAATGAAACTTTGAAGTTTCTTCTTTGAAATCTGATTCTCACCAAATATTTATATGGCCTTTGTCTCATAACGAATGCTAGTGTATTTTTAACAAGTTATGAGAAAATATTTGAGAATGCAAAAGAAAAAGCTTAAACATGTATGCTAACAATTTTTCTACTAAAAGGCATATAAAACATTCAATTTCCAATTTAATTAGTTACATTTGATGCATAACACATTAATAAAGATTGCCTCCAGTTGTAAAATTACACCGTTTCTTAATTTGGTTGTCACGATGATTTGAAGGCGAAATAGAAAGTTGATCTTTTCAGAATCCTGCCATTAAAAGCTGCTGTATCACCTTTAATTCCTCACTCTTGCTGTCAGTGCAACAGGAAAGGAAACACACCGCCGTACACCCACCATGCTCTTCCTTACAGAAAGCATTTAAACAATGAATATGGAGCTCCAGAAAACAGCATTACAACTGAGAGGAATCAAGCAAGCCAGTCATGAAATATGCACTGCAGACTATTTAAAGCCTGCTTCTTAGACCGATGCTAATGAATTACACCGAACAATGGGCTCATATTTTAGTTCTTTGATGTGTGATAAGGGATTTAGGATAAGGATTGCCTTAACAACAGTGATACTGAACTACAAACAGATGACTATCTGCTTAATATTTCTTACCAAATGACAAAAAGTAGCATTAAGAAGAACAAGGACAAGTATATGTAGCAAGCAGCAAATCTTCCTGCAGGGGTTTCATATCCATCATGGCCAACCTCTGCACTTTCAATACAGATGTAAATCATTAATAACTTTCAGTGTTTTAAGTACTTTGCAGTTCAAATAACATTTTCTTAGAGGCACTTCATCCATCTTAGACCTTACCATCTTGACCCTATCAGCTGAGTTCCCTCCTCCGTCTGTCCTGGTACAGAAAGCAGTGACTGCTGGTGCTGTCAGCCCGTCTGAAGAGACGCGAGGAAGACTAACTGAACTCTTCATCCCTGACCGTGGCCAACCCAGATTGCTGTTATTATTGGAGGAGAAATTGGCTTTCAGGTCCCCACCCGGCTGGACCAGCCCCTGCACCTGGGTGTGCCCCTGCAGTGTGTGACTGCTGACCACCATTGGTCTGACCGTGGCTGTGTTGGCTTGCCGTACATGCTTTTCTTCCACATCGTTGGCAGGAAGGCTTTCAGCCTCCCTGAAGAAGCGATCGAATCGATCGAGATACGGTGGCCTCTCTGGCAGAAGGTAATAGTGGGTGTTACTGACTTTACGCCCGTCACGGACAATAGGCAGGATACAGGGGCCCTTGCTAGCAGCGTCCTTCCCCTGCACCTGGGCCTGGATCACTTTGGGTGCAGCATATTTGGGGTCCGAAGCAAAGCTGTGTGTAGTAGGCATGAGTTTACCCGGAGAGGTAGAGAGGTAGGAGCTGTAGGTGTGTGTGGGTGGGCAGGTTGTAATGGCAGCCTGCATTGTGTTGGGGCTGACAGAGTAAAGCCTCTGCTGGGGGGAACCCACTACCAGACCCATTGGGCTTGGAGTTCTTGATCCAGGCTGAGACAAAGGGTCTCTGGGAGGGATTTGAGGTGGTCGTTCCTGTCCTGCACCTGAAACGTTTTCCGTGGTTTCAGTCGGCACTGGAGAAAGGGAGAGGTCCCTTGACCAGCGGCCAGAGGTGTAGTCACCCTTCTTTATGGGGCGAGGGGGGATGGGAACTCGTGGGGGGATCTGGGGTCGGTCCTCGTTACAGGAAAGGACACTCTGCTGTTGTCCCTCATGGGTTTGGAGACTTTGAGGAGTCTGGGGACACGAGACTGAGCTCTGCAATGGCGAGCACGAACGAGGAGCACTTGCTGCCGGTACATTGAGCCTCCTCATGCACTCTTGTTGAAGTTCTTGAAAGATCTCTGCAGACTGTGAAAAAGAGGTGGACAGGCTCTGGCTGTGCTTGCTGGGGAGAAACAGGTTGTCTTCCAGACCTTGTCTGTCTGAACCTCTGGAGACTAGAGCCTCATCATTGACCTTCTGCCCAGAGGACAGAGTTTCTTCTGGATTGCGGCCATCACTATGCTCTGCCTCATTCTGCTGCTCCGAGCTGTTGATGGAGCTCACCTTTCGGAGAAAGAAACAAGCTCACTGTAATATTACTTCAGGCAACACAAAGACAAAATAATTCCACTTTTATAAAATTTTGACACAGTGTTAAATGTATTGTGTAGCCCTACCTCCATATCATCCTCATCTTGTGCTACATCGTCATAAGCTGGGGGTGGGGGTAATGGCCGTGCATCCCAGTCCACTACTGGCGTAGGGTGAAGGGGGCGGGGCAATGATTTGGATGGGCTTTGAGGTGGAGTCCTGTCCAGGAGATTTTCTGCTTCCAAAGCCAACTTGGCCAATAGAGGAATCGGAATTTCAACCACGGGAGAGGGGGACGGTGTGGATATTGGGTACTCTTCCCCAAAGTCAATGAGGGACACTTCACTGTTAGTGTTCTGGCCTGAGCCTAAAGTCCTGCAACCTCCCTGTTTGGAAGCAGAGACCCACACGGCCGGTTTAAGTTTGAGGCCTTTCACAGAACCCGTTTTGCGAAGTGATAATCTCTTTAGTCCCGCAGAGGTCAGATCCTCCTCCTCATTTACTGGGTCATAGGAAGGTTCTGGAGATGAAAACACAACATATTCTTGATGCAGTTTAGAGATCATTGACACCAAGGTTGTTTAAGATCACTTAATACCACTAAATGCAAGACACACAGCTCCAAAAAAACTCGCCAGGTGTGACTGGAGAATACAATGCACAGCAAGGACACTGCACACCTTTTAGAGGGACAAAGGTGTAGAAAAGACCGGGGGTGGGGGGGGGGTACACTGCAAAAACAGGCAAAGAAAAGATGAAAAACTCTGAGATGTACCTTTGAGGAGTGGAACTAGGAGGGAACAGAGGGGGCAGGAGCAATGGGTGAAGAGCTGCTGAGAGAAACCAGACTTACTCTTGATTAACACTGCTGGTTGAGGAGGGCGGGGAGGAGGCTCCTCTGGGGAAAATAATAACAGATGCCACCAGCGCAAAGGAGAAACAAAGAGGGGAAGAAATGACAACAGTAAAAGATATTAAGATAAGAATAAAAACAGCAAGCGCCATTACATCTGAAAGCTTTATTAGGATAAAAGCAAAGCGAGCTCTTCAGTGTCTTTTTGCAGCAGCAGCAGATCTTGAAATTTCAACCAGCAATGCATAATGGAAATAAGAAGAAGAAAGAAGCACTCTTTAAAAATTAGGAATATGATCATCTGCTCAGTCTGTCACTGAACTGAAGAGGTATTGAGGCAAGCTTTTTGGTAACAGTTATACATCATACAGGTATACATTTCTATAAAGAGCTCTTTCACTCACTTTTAGCTCGTCCTGCTAGCTGTGTGGGCTGTGCAGCACTGAGGTCCAAGCCCAGAACGTCAGGAGGATCCATGGGATTCCCGAGGTACAAACTGTCGGCAAGAATGAGACATGTTAATGCAGGAAACATCAGTGGACTGCATATAACTAACCCACAGCAGGTGCTGTACAATCACGTTGCAAAAGCAGCTTAAGCAGCCCGCTAGTGCCATCTATTGGTGAGTGCTTACTATCACTGCAGCCCAACCGAAAGACCATTTAAAAGCATTTCTAGATGCATGATATGAATGCCATTTCACGTTCATTAAATAATCAAACTCAGCTTGAAAAATTAATAAACAAAAGCTGTCTCTTACTCATCGATCCTATCAGGGAAGCCCCAGCAGCGATGGGGATTGGTGTCTCCATGTCCTGTGTGGATGAAGCTGTTCTTGAGTGGACGACTGATGTCGTGTGCAGACAACCCTGCTACAGAAGTCACCACATTCCTGGGGAACTGCCTGACCTTAAGGGTGCGTTTATTTTGACCTCGCCACCAATAATTCTCTGCCCTGAAACGTATTAGGACAGATAATTATATTGGGTATGAAAGCAGACTGCCACTTTTTGACATTGAGAGTCAAGGATGTGTTTTTTTCCAGCCCATACTCCATCCTTGCATTAGCTACAGGCCCATCTGTTGGAGGTGAATGTGGGGGTTGCAGCTGGTACCAGCTGACACTGAGTGGCAGATGGGGGAAAACCTTGAATTCACGCTCACATTCACACCCGCGAGCAATGTAGACTTGCTGATAAACAAACACATCTTTGGACTGTGGGAGGACTCTGAAGTGCAGCCTTGCACACTTCTCTGCACTGCACTGTGTTTGCATTCAAGACAATATTTATCAGTAGTGGGGTTGGTATGTTGCAGAGGAGAGTTTAGACCCATTTGGGGGGTGCTCACTCATACCCGAATGTAATCAGAGCACCCCTAAAAATATTAATAGTACTAATAATAGGGTGTTTTAGTATTGTTTTCTGGAAATATCTTCAAATGTCTATCTGTCTATTTATAACACTACAGGATAAAATAAAAACAGTAGTCTGCTGGTATATCAGGAGCTGCCAACCAAGGGGCTGCTGTACTTTATTATTTGACTTTGATAAATATTTATTTTCCTATTCTAGTCAAATTGGGCTCCAGTGTTTGTTTACAGTACAGCATCAGATCCAGGTGACAGCAAGTCAAAAGGTGAATGCCTGTCTATGTCCAGCAGCAGCCTGTATTCACTTTGAATATTGCTATAAACTGATATGGATCATGTAGATCAGTTTGTCTTTTATTCACAGTAACGTTTAACTTTTGGGTGACGGCACAAAGACTGAGAGAGGATAGAGAGGGAGAGACGAAGACAGCAAAGAGAGCAAAAAGAAACAGGTAAGAGTGGACATGTAGTCAAATTCACCAGAAATGATAACGCTGTAGCTTCTCTTTTACCCACATTCATTAATGATGAGTTCACATAACTAAGCAGTGTGTTTTCCTGTTTTCTGTGCCTGATGTAATAATTATTATTATAAGATTATATTTTTGTTATTTTCTAGTTTCTAGTCGAGTGAGGAGGCTGGAGAGAGAAAAGACAGAGCTTGTAGAAGAACCGCAAGAATGAGGGAGCAATATCAAATGCCATTATTCACAAAGTCTAACTTAAAAAATGCCAGTGGACATTCTAAAGAGAGCATATTGATATATGATGCTGAGTCTGCTTAATAAATGAGGGTTTGTATTAATATAAAATAGCTATTAGCAGTTTGCTTCGTTTGCAGGTCTATGGACTAGCAGTGTGATTTTCCAGTGTCTGTACTGAGTGAGTGCTTGATGAGCTGGTGGACTGCCTCTATGTTGTTAAGAGGCTGAAATTTTTTTTTGCACGTTTTTCATCTTTTCTGCTTTGCCACAAATGGTTCTTTAACGACTGAGCCTTTGTATCGAGTTTGATAACTAAAGGCTCCACCCTAAAACGTGTGGAAAAGATTGAAAACTCTGATTGTTGACACTGAATTATCGTCACACATAACAACTAATTAGGTTGCCTTTGAAGATCCCATTGTAATGTTTATCCAATTGAAGGTCTGCACATGCGAAAAGGGTTGATTAAATTTGCAAACAGCATATTGCGTCATTATTAATTACAAAGCAATCCATTAGGATTGGGAGCTGAGCCCCCCCACAAGTCTGAACCTAGAATCGCCCCTGATGTGTCGGTTTAATTACTATTTTAAGACCTTTTATCACCCACCTCCCCTCTATGATGGTGATAATGTCATCGACCTGGATCTGGAGTTTGTCAGGCTCATCAAAGTCCTGGAGAGCACACATGTCTGTAGGCATAGACTGAAAAAAAGAGACAAAGACAGAAAAAATATAACAGATTTAATAAGCAGCCTGTTCACTTTTTTCTTTGAAATGGCACCACTAGGTGGAGCTAATGGTAAATTTATATAATAACAACATGATGTCAACAGAGAAGTTAAATGAATGTAGAAAACATGCATGTTTAAATCCTAGAGCGATGGTTAAATGACTGCTAACGCCACCTCGAGCAGGAACTCGCGTAGAGCAACAAAAGTTGGTCTGTCATCAGGTTTCTGAGCCCAGCACTGCAGCATGACGTTATAGATATCCTGTGGACAATCCTCTGGCTTAGGGAGGCGCTCACCCTCTTTATCAATTTTATGGAGAATCTAAAGACAAAAGAGTACAGCTACGGTATATGAATCACTGTCTATATGAGCAAATTTATGTATTTTGGCTTCAGAAGTTTGGTTTTTGTTGATCCTTTTTGTGCGTTTACCTGACTACCATTAAGACCCAGCCAAGGCTCCTGACCGTGTGTGAACATCTCCCAGAGGGTGACTCCAAACATCCAAGTGTCTGTTGCATGGGAGAAGGTTCTGGTCTTTAAACTCTCTGGAGCACACCTGTAACATGAAAAACAATACACTACAGTCTATAAACCAGCTGTGCACAGTCTGAGCATAAGTGTGGAGCAGGGATTTAAATGGGGTGTTTCCCTGGTGTAAGGATTTGTTTTGAAAAAACGATTTCTAAATTTTGCCTTGGCTGATAGTTTTAACAACAAAGCAACAATGAAATGAGTTCATTCCACCCACCACGCAAAGGGGACCTTGCGATGCTCCTGCATGACATAGTGCTCGTGGTTGTTAGGCAGCGCCCTCATCAGGCCAAAGTCACCAATCTTCACTCTGTGAGCCGAGGCCAGCAGGATGTTCCTGCAGACAGGGTGGTGATGTTAACAATTAGCTGGAAATCCTAAAATGAACCTTCAAGCTGGAAAACATTAAATGAACGAACTCTTCTACATGTAGAACTAATGTTCTTAATAATAACTATTTCAATAATAATTGTAGAGGAGACTTGGTCCGTATGCATTTTACTGATAGGCCAAGCACAAGACTGCAGATGTAGGATCTATTGAAACTGAGCATGACTAAAAAGATTAAACTCATTTACAAGTAAATAAATATTTTAGTTCGATCTACTAATATGTAAAGAGAACTATTATTTCTAGTAGTTTGGGTCTGTTCAGTTCCCTGTCTTTCCATGTGCAGACATGAAAGCCAGAGGCAGGAAGAGAAACAGCAAGACGTTAGTGACAGATATGACAAGTCACTGATTAGGTCTTGTGGACATGCTAAAGCAGCTTAAATGGTGTGCCATAACAGATAAAGAGATTTATCTGTTATGAACTTTTTGGTGTGTTAGAAAGTCAGCAGATCTTTATCTCAGAACGCTTCCAGCCTACAGGATACAGTGCGTGCCCAGAGAGCTCAGCAAACCTTAACGCAGCAGCTGTGTGTAGTCATTACCCTTTTATTACAGCTTTAACTGGTAAAGTGACTCATTTGTACCGGCCATTAAGGTTTTTCCCCAGACCTCTACATAGTGTCAGCACTTAAGTGAAAGTGTCTAATTTTGGCAAGACGAAGAACTTGGACCACCCAGTGCTTCCAGCCAGTGACTCATTGTGCTTATGGGCCAAGTCTCCTGTTAATGGCCTGTAAATTTCTGGGTGGAGGAATAGGAGAGGCAATATAAATAATTCACCACAGCAGAAAAATTATTCCTGAATGTGAGCAATGTATGTTTTTCAGTAGTTTTTTACCTTTTTTTTGCCTCTACCAAAGCTCTGCACCCTACCTCGCTGCCAGGTCCCTGTGGATGAACCTCCTCTGCTCCAGATAAGCCATGCCACAAGCCACCTGCACAGCATACTGACACAGAGTGTGGATCAACACTGGGCCTTGAGGACGAACGCAGCGCAAACGCTCCAGCAGAGAACCGAGAGGTGCCAGTTCAGTCACCTACAGCATGCAGGTGAAAAAGAGAAATAGAACATGGGTGAAAAGAACGGACAAACTCAAAGCATCTTTTGTCCTTTTGCATTTGCATATGTGGCAAGTATACACAGAGAATATCGGCCCCGAGTTAAAGCAGCTACTGTAAACGGTTATGTGCACTCGCATTTATCTGTCTGTATATTTTTCCCTGTGCGTGTGCATTTCTGTGTGTCCACTACCATCTTCATTGGGTGTGTGAGCACCACACCGTAGAGGCGGATCAGGTTTTGATGGTCCAGCGAGTGCATGACGTTGACCTCACAGATGAAATCCTCCAGAGCGTCGGGCTGACTGAGCACATCTGTCTTCAGACACTTCACAGCCACGTTCAGCTAAAAAAAATGATGAGTTCAAACATCAGATTCTGCTTCTCCTCATACTCAAAGTGTCTAAAAATTTCCCATGAAAATCCCATTAAAAAACAAAAGAAAAAAAACAAACATTCATGCGCCTGCTTTTATCTGTTCCTAGACAAGATGCAAACAAGCAACATGTTTCATGCAAAAGAACTGTGTGAGCACACTCCAGTTATTTCATATTTCCAACATGTTTTTGTTTTGTTTTTTAAATTGTGGATAAATGGTATAACAATATGCCTCCTCACCACCTTCCCCGCAGGTGTCAACCACTCTCCCCTCTTCACGACGCCAAATGAGCCGTCGCCCAGCTTCTCAAACAGCGTCAAGTCCTTCTCTGGGATGAGGCAGGTCAGACCCTGCTGCTGCCCGTCGAGGAGAGTGCCACCACTGGGCTGCGTGGCTAGGACTCCCTCCCCGACGCCCAGAGGTGGTGTGGGAGACAGCTTACGAAACGAGGAAGCCGGTTGACCCTGCTGGGGTATGTCTCCTCCATCTGGACGTTTACCACTAAAAACCTGGAGAGAAACAGACAAAAATGAAGACGTGTGAAAGCAGAGAGAGGGGCACTAGAACATAAAAATATGAGCATAATTTAACATTTTGCATAAACAGCAACATTCTACATCCTGGTTCCCCCTTTTTCAATTTATGTATAATAGCAGGTGGTTGAAAAGCACACTCGTGCCATGGTGAGAGTCTGACAAGCAGTCTCAAAACCATTACTGCAAGTTCTTGTGTGTGCAGCGAGGTCTTTTAATGGCTTAAATTTTTAAAATGAAGCTTACACATAAAGAAAACATCATGAAGTTTGTGGAAAAAGTAAATAAAATTCCATGCACATGTACTAACATGAGCACACATGTTTTTGCACACACACAAAATACTTAGAAATTTCCTGCCTCTTGGCTTAAGTACTAACAACACAGCAGGAATAACTTAGCTGTTAGGAAGTACTCATTAAGAAGCCCTATTAGATTAAGTGACCTGAATGGCTCTGTGTGCTTATGTTTGTATGCCTGCATTTGTGTGTGTGTGTCCATGTGTGTTAATGATTCATTGCCAGTCTCCTAAATCCGAACCCATAAAAATATGTGTGCCGTTTGGCGCCACCAAGGGAAGCCTTTGTTTAGAGGACTTGAATTAGACTGTTTACCAAAATAGGAGTTCACAGAAACTGGTGGTGATATTAGCTAGCAGGGATGAAATCAAGCCGATAACAGGTCAGATAAAACACTAGAAGAGCCTCTCCTACGGTGGTAACACAAATACTACATTACGTATCAAATCAGTGATGTCGGATTCACTTAAAAACATCTCTTATTGGCTCATGAACATAAGGTCAGTACTCAGAAATTATGTCATCAGTAAAAAAGAGGTGTCAATGAATATCTAGTGCCAAACATATTTGACTGGCTGGATATAAACAGTAGCAAGCGGTATGTGGTTTCACATTCACACTGGACCAGACATGACATAATGCTGCAGACCTTTTTTGAAAGACACCACCTCTGTGTGGTCACGGTGTGGTTAGTTCGTTTCAAATAGAGGGCTGGATATTTAAATAATTCTGACTATGGCGCGCACACACACACACACACACACACACACACACACACACACACACACGAGTGGAGTCATAAGGGTCGGTGACACACAGATGCGGCTCAAGCTGCATTCACAAAATGCTGTCTTATTAAATTCCCCTTAAAGAGACAGAGCTTTTTTTGCTTTAAGTTACTTCTTCACTTTCCTTTAATAAAAGACTCAAAGGGTAATTAAAAGACAAAAACTGCGAGGTATGTAATACACATGCTGACGCAAATACTCAAAGGAATTAACCATCGAGAAGGATACTGAGGAGAAGCCGTCAGAGTTGTGTGGGTGCGCATGTGTTGGATGAGTGTAGCCGTGGTTCTCACAGGACGGTGTTTGCCATCTAAAATTACACCTGTCTGCTTCCGCCTCTGGCACTATCCTCAGATAGAGTAATCTGCTTCCTCAGCTGGCTGTGACAGGGTGTGTGTGTGTGTGTGTGTGTGTGTGTGTTTCCAACTATCTTTATGAGAACTACTTTGAGTTTGGGAGCCTTACACTGAGGACATTTTGGAAAATGAGGTCTTTTTAGCTTGGTCCTTGCTTAAAAGGCCCTTTTTATGGGCCAGCACTTAAGTTAGGATTAGGTTAGGCTAAGGCAGTTAAGATGGCATGGTTCAGTTTAGGATTAGGAACTAGGGAATGCAATGTCAATGAATGTCCTAGCAAAAATAGCCTTGTAAGTGTGTGTATGTTTATATCTGAATATGGACTCACTGGCCCTCCTCGTGTGTCCTCAGGAGAAAAATTACTCTTTATATAAAAAATACAAAACTCTCCTATAATCATCACAGGTCTAAAAAAAATGTGCTAATTGAAAGGAAAGTTTCTCTTAGCGACACCTCACCACAATCACGAATGTTTGTGGTTGATTTAAAACCTCTGCACTACTAACAGCCAGTATTAAGTTAAAGGCTGCTTTTAAGCACATACGACTATGTTAACATCTTTCCCTCAGATTACAACGTACTGATGCCAGAATTCATTCAGGGGGTGCTGATCATATCTGCGCGGAGGGCGCAGGTTACTGTGGTCATGTATCCACACTGTTACACCCAGACGGATTCCACAGTGGCGACATCCTGCCAAATATACCGTGCACCATACCGAGTTCTGATGTGCGCTGTGCTCGTCTATGTCTGTCACCTTGCTCATCCAGGACTTGCGCTTGCACATGGCTTTCCTCCTTTTCACGGCCTCCCACAGCCTTCTCTGCCCTGCGGTCAAGAAGAAACAAAAAGAGGCAATAGGTCAGTGGCAAGGCATTCAAATGAGGACTGCAACTGCTCAAGGATCCATCAGGAGGAATCTGAGTGAAAGAAGGGTATACCATAATGAATTTCAACACATTTACCACAACAGGAAGAAAACCAAACACCCAGCTTTGATATGAAATGAGACAAAGAGCAAAAAGCAAAGGGAAGGAGGAAGAAGAAAAGATAATAAAACGCCAGAGAGCAGTGAGCTGTGCAGTGGAGAGACATGTGAGGGAATATATGAGCATGCGAAGTGGGTGTAATTAGTCTTAAGCGGCTGTGAAGCACAGGCCCTGAGGGCTTCAGTAACTGGATTTAGAACAATTCTGCTGTGATCCACTTTATACACACCGCAGACAAAAGATCTGACAGTTTAATATCCACTCTCACTGTACCTAATTACAAATTGTGACTTTGTAATGACATTAAATGCATTAGTGATGCAGGATTTGTTCAAGCAACATCAAGGATGAGCCAAATGACACAGTGCCATTACTGAACACAAGAGTCATACTTAAGGCTATGTATAGATGCATACAGAGAACAAAAGTAATCATAAATATAAAAATTGCTCATTAAGCTATGAAAGGCCAGTACTGCTTTATTAGGAAATAAAACACATGAGCAGAGAAGACAGTAAATGATGATTTTATGAAGTTGTAGTTTGGAATCAGAAATTCTGTGTCTTGCGCTCATTTCCAGTCTTGAAAGAGTTGATAAAAACAAGCCACTAAACAACAGCCATGCTTTCAGATATCTAGCTACACTAAACCACCGCTCTGAGCTAAAAGCTAATATCTACTTCTACAGTCTACAGCCTGGTAACAAAGGCAGTGCCAACATCAATATTTTAAGACTTATAATGTATGTTAAATATATTCAGCATCTGAATTTAGCACGAAAGAGTTACAACATTTGCTAATTAGCACTAAAACTACAGGACAAACTGAAGCTGATGGGGATGTAGTTCATTTTTAGATCACAAATTATGGACAAAGAGTACAGGAGATAAACCGTAGGATTTTTCCTTTGAATAAGGAACATTTATACTAAGTATCTAACACTGGAAGCCACTAGCAGGAATACAAATTTAAGCACAAGAGAGACATGCCAAATGAACATCTGGATGAGCTTCTTTGGCACAACAACACTGCGGTTCTTTCATTCACTCACTGACAAAAACACACACATACACGCAGGTACTGTGTCTCACCGGGTCGACCCATGCCGATTTTCTCCAGGTCTTCATTCTTTACGTAGTCAAAGTGCGACAGCCGTGTGACGTTAAGGTCATCTCGGATCCGTAAGAAGTACTGCTGCAGCTGCACTTCCATCAGCAGTTCCAGCAACCATTCCGTCCCTTCCTCACATTGCATGCTGCTGCCCAGTTTCTGATAAAAATACAAAGACACACACAGAGTTAAGCCCATTCAATAGTCATTCAACACCTCTCCCAAAATCCGTAAAATACACTCAAAAAGGAAGTCAGCCATCAACAAACAGAGAAAGAAAGGAAACTGAGCTTGGAGCCAGCTCCCTCTTAACTAAATCATTAACAGCCTATTGCTTATAAAAACTCAAGATCAAGGGGGCTAAAGCGGCAAACATACTGTAGCATAAGCTACTTATCAAAGGATAAAAACAATGAAAACAGTCATTTTCACTGCAATTTGATGTCACTGTGGTGTCAACAAACCACTTAGTCTTCAATTAAGTTAAGCTCAAAACAAAGAAAGTTGTTTTTGGCTGACTTGCTGTAGACTGCTCAGACATGAATGTGCCAAAAAAAACAAAAAACAAGAAGAGCAATACAAGAAATATATTATGCAAAACTGATGTCCAAACGTCCAAAAACCAGACGTGGCCCCGAAACGGTTTCACCGCAATTCCTCACAACACCGAGTCAGCCCATCAATCTTTAACGTAAAAACAAAAAACATCCATTTAACGTAACCAGAAACCTAAACCTAGATGGGCTTCTTCACAAGGCTATCGTCTCAAACTGATGCAAGTTCAATTCAAGACAGTGAACAGCTTTGCTGGAGAACAGCTACACCTGCTCAGAACTTTAAGGAAGTAAACTTGTAAACCAAGCTTAACAACACATGGAAAAGAGAAACATTCCTAATCCACACATAAAGGCAGACAAAACTTTACGATGGGTGCTCTGGCTGAAGGGGTCACTCCACTGATCAGTATTTAGACTCGGCGAATGAGGAACTTCCTGTGCTGGCAAAGGCGAGGTTACGAGGTCCAGAGAACAGTGTCACAAAGGTCACTGCTTCCTTGCTCGCTGCCATTTAAACTTCCTGAGGGACTTGCTTAGAGGCCATTTCCTATTATTTAATGACTCTGGCCTTAGAAGCTCAAGATCACACACACACACACACACATACACACACACACACACACACACACACACACACACACACACACTTCTAATGGTGGGCCATAAAATAAAGCCCGTATGTGACCAATCCCTAAATCTACTATGTCTTTTCAGAAATAGCTGTTCTGTATTTTACAGGAATTTTAGATGTGAGGTCTGACTGAGGTCAACTTATTGGGAGGGCTCAGTCCCCAATGGTTATGTTTGTATCCTGATACAGATTCATTCCTATAACCATAAAAATGGGTCAGCTGTCTTTTTGAAATCACAGGAGTCCTCTTATTTTGGTAAAAAAGTCCCACTGTCAGAACATTCTTTGAAGCTATCTTTGAAATCCTCCTGTTAGTTGAAAACAAGAAGTAAAACGGTACACTGGTAAGCCAGGAAACATTCTCGCGTGATCCGGTGACAGTAGTGCCTGTGGTTTTAGGATTAACTAGAGCTGCTGTCATTTGAATCCATCTCCATATTTTGCATTTTGCTACATCATGCCTGACTCTTATCCTGAGAAAGACGATCCAACGGCCCTTTTGGCTGGTCCACTACGGGTTAAGCTGTGCCAGTGGCAGACATGCTATTAAGAGTTTGACGCAAAAGTTTTCCCAAACAAGAAACAAATGATTTTTCATTTTCATTTAATCCTTTCATTTTTCCATGAAAACATGCCCAACTCATCCTTTACAATCTTCCCCAGCAGCAGTCAACACTGAAGAAAGAATGCTATTTCTCTGGACGGTGCCAAAGACGCAAGTCAGCTTTCTCTTGGGCCTCATTTCATGGCAGTGTCATTTGAGGCATGAGGGGTCAAAATCAGGGAGATGAAGCGCTTCTACTTCTTGGCCCACTAGCAAACAAATTATTAACCCATTAAGGCATGTTGGGTTTGTTTTTTCCTGAGACATGTTCATAGAAATAAGCTTTGATACAATTAATTTAGGTGGCTAAGAAAGAGCTTTATACAGGGTGTATCAAAAAGAAACATCTGACTTTAAAGTGCTTTAAATCCGCAGCTGTTTACTGGTAACAGTCGAAACATGTACTGGTAGAAAGCGAGGATTTAAAAGATTCATGTGGTGGTTGGGACGAGTTATCGTATTGATGTGTGCCATGTATCTGGTTGGGGACACACTGAGCACGTGTAAACGATGCAAGTTTTGTATGTAAAACTTTACATGCAAGCGTCTATGCCCATTACTTTGAAACATATAGCCTTTTGAATTCTTTTTGATACACCATGAATCTTCACCAGCTGAGATCATCAAATTATACTTTCTCCAAACAAAACAGGGTCCTTCCTTTATTTAGTTTATGTAAAACGTCATCAGGGGCTTAACTTCTCCTAAAGTAGGAAGTAGAAAATGTACATTTTGAAGATGTGAGGTTAAACTTGAAAGAAATGCTGCATCCCAACTGTTAGAAATGACTTCCGTTAAGACTCTGAAGAATCCAACCAGGGCTAGAAATCCAGAACTAACTAGTGATCTATATACTTTCCTTCATTTCACCATATTTTAAAGAAGCATCATGAAATGCTGACAGATTAAGAAGCTAAGCCTGTTTGCACTAAACTGTCCAAGCTTAGCGTTTACTTCAAAAAAATATTGAAAACGACCAAACAGGGAGGAAAACAAAGAGAAATAAATGAGGGATGCAGGAATTTAGATGCAGAGAAACAACATGGTGTCATTGCTGAGAAATGCTTTTGGCCTGAACGAATTCCTCAAGGTGGTGCTGATATTCACACAGGCGCATGTACACGTACACAGACACACACAAACCTACACCTTCTGGCCAAAATCATGTCCTGTGTTAAATCGGTTCTGCTCTCACATCCTGCTGCAATAACAACCATCCCTGGGGAGAGCCTCAGACCAGCTGGAGAGTCTCCACACACACACACACACACACACACACACACACACACACACACACACACACACACACACAGTTAGAGACAACTGACCTCCACCATACCATATTCATGATTCATGTATTCTAACAACTAATTAAACCACATGACTCTGACTATAGTTACAAGCATCCATGTCATGCTAAAGAAGATATCCCCTCAATGGAATATGGAGAGTAGACAATCCAGCAGAGCAGACTTACTCGATATACGTGAAAGCGTGCCAGGAAGGGGAATGTCTTTTTCAGCTTGTCAAAGCGTCGCATCCTGAATTCCTTCGTCTGGGATGAATGTAGGTGCAAATAAAGTGCATACACGTTTAAATGGCCCGTGGTTGTTGCTTGTCCTTTAAATCATTACCAGAGCCACAGCACCCTTGGTTTGAGTCTCTGAGGGAATTCTAAGAAGCGCACACAGTTTTTGGATCCGGACCCAAACCTATGAACCCGAGAAGGGGAAGAAAAACTTCCTGAAACCCTGCACGCAAATCTACAGCATTCCATGGCGGGGTCAATCCTCCTCTAAGCCCCTTCTACTGCTTCAGCTCCCCACAAGAAGTCAAAGAGGCATTTATGTAGCACTTGAGAATGCAGAAGAGAACTCAAACTGGCTTGTAATATTAGGAAAGAAGGCTGGAGAGCGAATGGAAGCTGCTGCTTCTAGCAGAGAAAGCCTCCCAGCTCTGCCCTCTGCCCAAGTCCAGCCATGTGCCCTCCTCAGACAGCAATGAGCCAGTCATCCAAACTTGCAGAACTTCACAAATAAGTCACTCCTTCTTCCTCCCTTCCTTTCACTGCCTCTGTCTCTCTCTCCCTCTCTCTCCCTCTCCGTCTCGCTCTCTCTGCTTTGCCTGTGCATATACTGTCTGTTTGCTTTTCGATCCCTCCATCGCGCATGGGACTAAAAATAGGAGCGTCTTCTGCCCGATTCAATCCCCTCGGCAGCACAAACAGACGAGCCAGAGTCGGCGTCTCCGGCTCCACTTTTTAGGCTTTAAAAACATGCATGTCTGCCAGCGGGGGGAGGGAGGGGGGCCAGTCTGCATTTGTTTACAGGTAGCATATGTGCTTGAGCTTCATGTTGACTGCTTATAATTCTCACTTCTGCATCAGCCAAATTTTCTCTACCCCTTTATCCTGCCCCCTCCTGCAACTCCACTCCTCACCCTATCTGTCCTGACCCCCGAACCCCCCACCCACCCTCCTCCTGCCGTCCGTGCAGTGCAGAGCAGAGTGTGGTGCAGAGGACAGAGGCTTCATGGTATTCAGCCCGGAGGAGCATTTGATCCAGGGCCAAAGGGTCACATTCAACTGCAGGAGGGGGAGCTTGTTTCCTGTGATGCAACCTCCCAAAGACACACACACACACACACACACACACACACACACACACACACACACACACACACACACACACACACACACACACACACACACACACACACACACACACACACCCCAAGCGCTCTTCCAGCTTCTCCCTCTGTTGCCTTGCAGAATTTCCCAACCTGCTTAGTGTAATATTTTCTCAACTGAAATGTATTGTTGAATGGCAATCATTATCTCTATGATTTACGAGTAGATTTTCCTACTATATATTTTTTCCAAGTTTCATTTTAAATCTATTTGTTATGATCTTTAATCACTTATAACCAACGCATTGTGTAAGAGTATCTGCTTAACAAACCCAGAAGCATACTCGAAGCACCAATCATTAACCACCAGGATCATTCGGACAATGAAATAGTGTATGAATAATTTCTGAGGTATGAACCACACGATGTGCAAAACAGATTTACAGATATCTGTTAGTGGATGACTAATAGTTTACAGTAATAGTGAAGAAAAAACCCACATGAATATAATTATGATTACATAAGACCTGCTCAGGTCACTTAACCGCGGTAAACTCGCACACTCCTTTTCTGTCACTGTGACGTCTTTTTTGCGCTGACTAAAACTCCTGCCATCTCCCTTCTCCTCCCTATTCTTCACTCCTTCATTAATCCCTTCTCTTTCACTCCCATGCCTCCTTCTGTCCCTCCTCTTTATCCCTGAGGATCTGGCCAAACTCTTGCATTTTCTTCTTTATTT